TATCACGTATTTGGCGTATTTCAAAACGATTTTAAACAAATTAGAATTTTTTTTATATTAGCTAAAATTGGCCATATTGACAAATCTGCCGATGCAGCGTAATTCTATTTATTAAAAATCTTTTCAAAAAGAAAATATTCTTTTCGGAAACTTTATCTGGGGAAGTTTAACTGATTTAAAGTTTAATTAATCGAAATTAAAACAAAATTCCTTACTTTTAGTTTAAAATATCGAAGAAAAGTATTTTTAGCACGAGTATGGATGATTTCATGAGGTCTTGACACATTTATCAATAATCTGCCGATTGCAAACTTGAGGTAAGGGAGAAATAGTTGTAGCAAAATTATATGACGAATACAATATAAACGTCCTTTTAATATAAATTTGTAACTACCCAGTAATCTTAAAAATGTAATATATTTGAAAGATTCTAATATTTTTTGTTGAATTTAGGGTACTTTGATTAAGTAGGACCATAAAGTCTTCATGATAAGGTTATAATTCTTACGAAGACGCTTGTAAAAAAATTACCTATAAATTTTAAATTTATTATAGTTACTGCTCTCTTATTTTCGGTTAATATCGTGTATAGACGCCAGAATTGATAAAACAAAACAAAACAAAAACAAACAAACAAACAAACAAAACAACCAGACAAAAATATTTTTAAAATGCTGACGGTCTCCACTGGCTTCAGCCACTGCCTTGAATTGTGTTAAGTTTTTGAATTTATGATTAGTAAATATAGTTTTTATTTAATAACATTATTACTTGACCGCTACAAATTTATATAGAATTTTAAAAGATTTAAAAGTTTATATATAATTCTAATAAAAAAAAAGAAAAACAATTCTTGTAAGAATTCAGTATTTATCAATTTGTTTATTCTCTAGTCAACAGTGTCCATAATATTTTATTTAAAAAAAGCAATTAAAAGCATTTCTATTTAAATAATGCCTTAGATTTATTGCCTTTTTATTTTCCGATTTAAAGCAGATTTTCAGTAATGGTGGTCCTGTTTGAAAAAAAAAAAAGAAAATTATGATTTAAATTCTCGGTGGACTAATTAAATTAGGTCTAAAAGTGTCGTTCATCGTGTAATTAGCAGGTATAAAACTGATAAAACGTTAGATGCAAAAACCAAAAACCGGCAGACCTCCAAAAACATCGCAAAGAGAAGATCGAATAATTGTTAGAATATCTACAAAAAAACCGTTTTGAAACTACTACATCAATTGCCCGTAAATTTAATGAAGAGACAGATAATAAGATCTCAAGGAAAACGGTTAAAAAATGCAGGATTGCATGCCCGTATTCCAGCTTCGAAGCCTCTCATTTCAAAGCGACGAGTCCAAGTTTACTATATTTGGTTCTGAGGGCAAAACTTACGTACGCCGTAGAACAGGTGAAAGACTGTCTTCTCAATGTGTTAAGAAAACCGTTAAGTTTGGTGGTGGCAGTGTGATGGTGTGGGGAATGATTTCATCTGCAGGAGTTGGCCCTATCATTCGCGGACATGGCAATATCAATGCTGAGATTTACAAAAGGCTTCTTCAGCAGCGTGTGGTACCAAGATTACACCATAATCTTTATGAATCTCCTATTTTCATGCAGGGCAATGCACCTTGCCACAAGGCTCAGAAGGTTATGGCTTTATTTGAAGAAGAAGGAATCGCCCTAATGAAGTGGCCAGCCCAGAGCCCCGACCTGAATCCAATAGAAAATGTTTGGAAGATAATTGGAGAAAGGGTTCAGAAAAGAAACCCGAAAAACCAGGATCACCTATGGGAGTTATTGAAAGACGAATGGGAGGAATTACTGCTGATTTTTTGCAAGAAATTAATTAGATCATGTGGTCGACGATGCAGAGAAGTCATTGAAAATAAGGGGATGTTTACCAAATATTAAATTTTGTTGATATTTTGTTCACAATCAATTAACAAGATCGTTCATTAACTTTTGTCCAGTATCTTATTTCCTTTTTCCATTTAATCTTTATTTAAAAAAAAAAATCTATTATGCAAATTTTTGTAACTTTGTATAATATTTATGCTTTACACCCTAATCTTTATTCGGTAAAAATTTCATTGCTAATCATGCATTACTTTTTAAGTAATACACATATTTATGTCTTTGTTGTTTCCGTTCCTTACATTATGGCCGCTACTGTATATCAGTGTTGAGTTGGAAGGTGATCCCATAACTACCACATGTAGAATCGCGCCTCAAAGAATGTCAGTAGCTTCCCCTGTCATGTTAGCAGACGATCGACCCAGCTGAGATTGGGATGTATGACGGCTGGATAACAGGAAGTTATATAAACATATCATCTGAGACAGAAAAGCTAGAGTCTCTCTTTAAAAGATTCACGTTTGACGAAAGTTAGCAAAGACACACACCCTAACGCTGAAAGAAAGAAATAAACAATACGGATGAAAGATTTAATCTCGTATTCTTGGGATTTTTCAGAAAGATACCGTTACACTTATCTCGTCCGTGAGAAAAGAAGCCTGGAAAATGGTTCTCCTGAAACAATGTACAATCAACATCAGCAACACAGATAATAATTTCAGTTGTCTGAACAAAACTTGGAAAGATTCATTAACTATTCAGACACACTTCAGAGTTTCCTCAACTCAACTACGTTTGTTGAATGTGGCTACAGTAAATTGAATAATTTACAACATCATCCATTCATGTTCAAAAGTAGTGTCAAGAGGATGCATTTCTATAATAAGGGATTCTATTGAGGCCTACTTGTTAATACAAAAAAGTTTTCATTGATGAAGTAGCTGTAAAATAGAGACATTAGAAATAGAACGTTTGGAAGATTCTAGATCATTCTAGTATATTCGAGAAAAATCTAGAGGATTCGAGAAACATCTAGAAATATGCTAATTAGGTGCTAGCCCCTATAAAAATAGGTTTTTGGAAAAGGGTTGTCAGTTGTGAAAAGAAATTTCTGCCAGCATCAACTCCGGCATTTTTTGATTCGAGGATTATTATATCCAGTCGAAAGAATCTCTATGAAAAGTTGCCAACCAACAAAAACCCCAAAAGAGTACCACATGGAAAAAATCTGGTAAATAGAGTTTTGACTATTTTCATTGACCAAACTACTAATTATTCAATATATTCTCACATTTATGGATTTTCCGTTATTAGCACTTAGGTTACTTCGCTAGTCCTAAAGTAGTAATAAGACTTGACTCCATTTCCTTCTCCCTCGTAACACTTTGCTCGTAAATTCTGTGTTTTCTGTTTTTTTGTAGGCCACAATTGTATATCTTGTATATATTTTATGTTGTGTTTTAGTAAATTAAATATTTGTTTGTGATTTAGCTCTGTGTTTTGGTAAATCATTTTTTTTTCCTTTGTTACAATTTCCAACACGTAACAGTAGGTAGATCTGTAGCAAAAGGAATTTGGACAAGTGTTTCTGGAACCAGTTTCATTCTACCTGCGTACGATGAAGGGAGCCGTGTTACCTTGCTGGAACAAACACTCACCAACGGGAAACATGGTGAGCATAAATGGTACACGTGTTCTCCAGCAAGTGTCTGTTTATATAACTCTAGTCAAGACAGACAATTTCACATGTAGCCTTTGCAAACTCCAACAGAACAACTCCCCAACACCATCACAGATTCATCATCAGCTTATGCAATTACCTACCGATAGGCTGGATCTATAGTCACACGGTCTTCGCGGGGCACGAATTTAATCTTTCAGCTATAAACGGATCTCGGCTGTCCAAATAGTAAGAGTCAGTAGTAATTTTTTTTAACTAATTGAACACGACCCAAGAGTCACTCAAGGCAGAGACTTACCGTGTAAACGCAAGAGTAGGAGTTAAGAAGTACCGATTATGAGGATATGTGGGAAAAGTACCGGTTGACCCTAGATCTGAAGAGGTTAACTGTATAGTGATTGGGGAAGCATCCTGTAGTGAGACTGTTCAATAAAACAGAGGACTCGAGAAGAAAGGTATCTGCATGGAAATTCCTTCTTAATAAAGAAATGGGGATGATTTGCTCCAGTGTACATGACATTCTAGGTCTTAGCTATAAAGGCTTGAACTGGTGGAACTAATGCATGTAAATCCTTAGAACATTTGCCACGGCAATAGCGACAGAATAGCGAGATGCTTGTGAAATTCCGTCTGTGGGAGAAGGATGGAAAATTCGTTACACACAAAGCAGCATAAACGCTTCTGAACTCTATTCAGGCTGTATAGTGGGGACTGGGCGGTTTCACTCCGGACTGGAGCATCCCAGTCCCCACTATCCAGCCTGGACAGAGTTCAAAAGCAGCAGTAGTACATTTGGGGGGTGGGGGGTTCATCTGCTTCTTGTTAAAATACAGCATAGCAGGAGGAATCAAGTATGCTCTGGAGTAGTATAAGGCAACCAACCATTCAATGGATTGTATATATGAGTTCCACTTTAGGTCTTCTCTACACGCAAGCCGCTAGTGGCCGCCAATGTCAAAGCTAGCGGTCCTCTGGTGGCAGCCACCGGTGTGCCTATAGCGGTCCGCCAGTGGTAATATTACCGAGATGAACACGCCGGCGACTAGTGGCATGCTAGCCAGTGGCAGATTGGTGGCTTGCCTGGGTGAACTTGAGTCCCAGTAGACGTTCTAAGGCAGGAACCTCGTTGACAGTAAAACTGCTCATCATCATAGGCAAACATTCAGAGTCAGCTCGCTGATGATGAAATGTTACAAACTTGGTTTTGGAAATATTGAAAGTTTCTTCCTCATTGAGAACCCACTGAAGCTTCCATACTTTTAACCTTGTGCCAAATCTACATTAGGTTTAGAAATTCACTATATTAATCAGGAAGAGGACATCTCGGTGTTGTGTAATGCTCAACGAGCTTGTCTCGCTAGAACAATTACACTTGAGTAGTGTGTACGATCCTCAATCGGTGCTCCCTACTTTCGGCCTTGTGCCACATCTATGAGTCTCTGACGATTCATATTAACTGAGTTAAATTACGATCATATTCCGCTGAAATACCGGTTCTTCAACGATCACCGAAGTTAAGCAACGTCGATCCTGGTCAGTACCTAGATGGGTTACTGCTTGGGAATACCAAGTGCTGTAAACTTGGATGTGCGGGTAGAGTAATGGATAATGGCTCAAATTTTTTAATAAGTGAACCGAGTTCGATTCTAGTTAGGTTCCTTATATCCACACGCCTAAATACCATTAGGAAATGTATGAATCCACCTTTTCTCCCCCAGCTACGGATTAATTAGTAAGAATTGTATCGCTAAATCCTTATTATCTCAAAAAAAATCTTAAAATATTTCCTGGCTTTAAATAACCTGCAAAGGGTTGATAAACCGTAAAAAAAAACGAATCCATCAACCAAAAGGATGGTAATGGCATTCAAATGTATGGTGAAAAGGGTGCATTGAACAAAAAAAGACTGAGAACCAGTATAACCGTATGTGACAAATCTGTAATCAGAGGGTGACATTCATTCTAAAGCGTTCAGCTTGATGGTTGCATTAATATTTCCCTCAGGAGAACAGGGAATGAATTATGCAGCATATATGAATATTAAATTATAGGATTTGGCAAGTTTGGCGGAATTTAAACCGAAGACTAAACCTTCAAAATACAGTACAGATTATCCGTACATCGATTTTCCGGGCAAGAAATAAACATCGATGGAAGCATTTTCGGACTGAGGAGTCTTGTTTTGTTGTAATTCAAGAGTTTACCTTTTGAAATTGAAATGGTCTCGAATGGGAATGATAAAAGAAAACGAAAATTTTTTAATCCATTTAAAAAAAAAAAAAAAAATCTTCGGCCGTTAGTGGCAGAAAAAACTCGGGGTTGACGGGAAACGGACAAAAATTGACACATTTTTTTTTCAATAAAAAATAAACTGGACAAAATTTCGAACAAAGCGTTTGAAAATGTTATTTGATGACAGAAATGTTAAATTTATTTCAGAAAATGATTTTTTTCTTCATTGTTTTTCCATAATTCAGGTTTATAATTATCTATAATTTTGATTTATCCAAAATAGATTTTCAGTAAATGGGACGTTCCGGCGTAGCTTATTTGGCGTTACTGATTCGGCGTAGAGATGATTTCGGCGTAGCCGATTCGACATAGGGATTTTTTCGGTAGAGGGAAATTAGGCGTCAGATTACTACTTCGTTGTAAAAGTCAAATTTGATATATATATATATATATATATATATATATATATATATATATATATATATATATATATATATATATATATATATATTAGGCAGCATATAATTTATATTCAAAGAAATAATCACATAGAATCAATCAGAAATATTAATGCGATTATTGGCGACATCCATCGCTAGTAGTATAATATATGCATTAAAATACTGTTAATCCATAGAGTGAAGTGATCCTCTACTGGTTAAGGTGGTGGAGAACTTGGAGAGGGGAATTAACAGGAGATAACTGACATCCATTAGACATGGCACCTACCCCAGCGAGCGAAATAAATCAGTTCGACATTCCAACCACCTGAAGAAGGCTGGAGCGTACAAAAGCCAAAACGTTGTGATAAATATGGCAACAAAGATGAGGACAATAGTATATATATATATATATATATATATATATTATGTAAGTATATTGATAATTAAAGAAGAAAGGGATTTTCTGGAGACAAGTATTAGCGCAAATACTCCTAACGGAATATTATATATATAATGTAATTACATTGCTAATGATTTTATTAGACGAATTTACTGAAAGTGAGGAAGAAAAGGATTGTTATTGGTCAGCGATTGATGATAACGTTACCGTTAATATATGACTATTATAGACATGACGTAAATGATATTATAGTTATGATGTTATAATTATGACCAGGAAGAAAGGGATTGTCAGTGGTCAGGAATAATATAATATATATTATAATATATATGTATAATCTAAATTCATTACTAAGGGGTTTGCAATAGAAATGCGTTGAAAATAAGGAAGACGGCATTGTCAGTGGTCACAAATGAATGGAAACATTACTGACAAAACAGGGCTATTATAATTACAATGTAAATGCATTGTTAGTGATTTTATTATTAAAAAGCATTCAAAATCAGCCTAAGGGATTGTTATTGGTCAGGAATGAATGTAAAGGGATTATCAGGAGTCAGGACTTTATGCAAGCATGATTAAGAGGACAGGACTGTAATGCACATAATATAAATGGATTGCTAATGGTTTTACTCGAGAAATGCATTGAAAATCAGAAAGAAACTGATTGCAGCGACTAGGTATTGGTAGTAGAAATATATACACCCTTGTGCAAATTAATTGAAAGAAAACGAATAATTCCATTATTATTTACTTTTTCCGTATTTTCGAATGAAACATGACCCAGTGCAGATGCTAGTACGTCGTATGTCCATTCCACGAAGTCATTTCTTGCAGATTGACAATAGAATTCTCGATTGGATTTAAATCAGGAGAGTTTCCAGGCCAGTCTATAGTACTTTGATTTGCTCACTGGTAAGGCTTGCAATTTTCGCACGCTTCCTTGGAGTAACGTCCATCGCAGACAATGGCCGTAGGACAAGTAATCGACAGTCGAGACAATAGTGTCTAGGCGTGATAAAAATCTGATATAATCACGGATGACGCGATATTTTCAACAAGGCCAAACAAATTTCATCACACACCCCGAATATAGATTCATATTACTACACACCACTACAAATGACCTAATCTGAGGATAAAATAGAAATAGATTACACCCTGTCACTCCAGTGCGTGTAAAACTGACCGTATGGTTAAAGAAAGGTAACTAAAGCGGTTGTTTCAATTAATTTGCATAATGTTGTAATTCTTTCAATTAATTTGCATAAGGTTGTGAAATTCGTGTAAAAATTAGATTGTAGTTGGAATTAAATAAACTTTCAAGGTTTGAAATGATTTGAAATTACTTAGAATAATTTTTTTAATTTTTTAAAATTATTTTAATTCATTACATTATTGAATGATTTAGAATTTTCCAAATAGCTTTTATTCTTAAAATATAAAATTCTGAAAGCTGATTGAATTCACTTAGAGCACTTTTGGAAACACAAATCCTTTCTATGAATAATAAAGAATTTCTGCAACAACAAATTCTCCAGTAATGTTTTATTGAATAATGCAAAAAAAAAAAAAAAATATTACAACGGTGTTATTAAAATCAATGGAAAGACCCAGACATAGGAAATTTTTTAATAGGCATGTTTAAGTTGTATTTTCTTTCACACACACACACACACACAGACAGAGAGAGAGAGAGAGAGAGAGAGAGAGAGAGAGAGAGAGAGAGAGAGAGAAAGAGAGAGAGAGAGAGAGTCGCCTTTTATAAATGGCGCGGGGTATGTTTGAAGACTTAAAACGGATACCTGGAATTGACGATAGCACCAACCCTATATTGTTACCTATACCTACCTAAGTTTAATTTAGAAATTAGACAGAAGAAGAGGTTACCAACAATAAATAATAATAAAACAGAATAATAATAATAACCACAAAGTGTAATCAATATAGGTGCCTTCAAAGATTCAGTGAAATATGAGCATAGCATGATGTCAAAAATGACCCCAACTTAATAAAAACAAAGTTTCATCGTCAAAATATTTGTTATTATTATGAGGAAAGACCAAAGGGTTTTTTGTTTATTAAATTATATTTTTTAATTCATTTTAGGACCTTCGATTTTGTGATTATAAATTTTGTTTTTCTTGCGTCAACGTGTGGCCATAAATAATTATGGAAAATCTGAACGTCTTTTGACAGTAAAAAACATTGACTGGGAAATTCTTGCAAAAATCAGATACTTGTCGTATTTTAAGTAAACTTTCAAGGTTTATACGCAAATGAAGAAAATTAATTTTGAAAACATTTTTTATTTTTTCGAAAATCATGGTAAAAATATTTTTTTCCCATCTGTTAACGGCCATTTATTTAATTTTATGAAAATTCGAGAAATTCATTTTCTTAGAATCTAATGTTTATATTAATTATAGCAAGTCCTTTGGAGAATTGACATCATTAATCTTTTTGTCAAACAGGATACATAGAGGAAAATTTGCTCTGAAATGTAAAAAGAAAAAAAAATGCAATAAAACAAATAAATTGTTTAATTAGAAGTGCTTTTATTTGCTTTTATAAATAAGAAATATTATAGATACTATTGCTATAAGATATATTATGGACAAAACTTTAAAAAATTCTATGAATAATGAATGTTTATAACAAATTATTTTCATTTTGAAAGAAAATTATTAATAATAATTTATAAAGTATTAATTCATAGCGGTCAAGTGATATTGTTATTAAATAAAAAATTAATCATAAATGGAAAAGTTTACTACAATTCAGCGACCGCCAGTATTTTAAAAAGAATATTGGATTTTTTTGTGTGTGTATAAACAAGACGATTTTTGTAAATACGGACGTCCATACACGACATTATCAAAAGCTAAGTGCGGTAACTATAGTAAATTTAAAATTTAATGGTAATTTTTTTAACATTTCCTCAACAAGGGTCTTCATAAGTAAGACTTTAAAGCCAAAGTACCTAAAATTTAATAAAATATTAGATTACTTAGAATATTTTCCTAAATATTAAAGATTACTGTGTAGTTTAAATTATATATTCCTCAAGTAATTTTTACGGTTATGTCCTCCGTAGAAAAACATAGATATAAAGGTCGTTTACGTTGTATTCGTCAAGTAATTTTTAACCTTTATTAAAAGATACCAAACGTCTGGTTATCAATAAATTTGTCAAAACCCCATAAAAAACCACATCTGTGTTAATATTTGTTTTAATTAAGGTTAATTAAACTTTAAATCAGTTAATTTTCGTCAAATAAACTTTCAGAAAAAGTATATATTTCTTTTTGAAAGGTTTTCATAAAGAGAAATGTTTTGTTGATAGATTTGTCAATACAGCCGATTTTAGGGATTTTGAAAAAAAAATTACAAACAATTTAAATAGGGTTTGAAATAGAGCAAGTATTTGACGTATTGAAATTTAATCGTGGAATTAAAACTTTAAATTGGAATTAAAACTAAAATCAAAGCTCCAACAAAGAT